GAGGAAGAGGAGGAGGAGAAGGAGGAAGAGGAGGAGGAAGAGGAGGAGGAAGATGACTGGGGGTGATCTCTGAGCTTGGTTGTTTTTTTACAGATGTTTTATTAACCAAACTAGGTGACATCATCAGTGCTAGAAAGTAGTGGGGTTTTTGGAGAGGAGGGGGAAGTGGAGGAGGACTGCGGGGTCCTTGGTTTTCTCTGAGCTTGGCAGTTTTCTTGCAGACGTTTCATTACCCAGCTGGGTAACATCATCAGGGCTAGAAGGTTGTGTAGTTTAATAACCAAATATCTGGAAGGAAGCAAACAAGCTCAGAGACCCCGGGGGACCCCAGAACTCTGCCGACCCTCACCCAACTCGACTCCCCCTCGCCTGACCCCAGCCTCTTTTCCCCCTGACAGCAGACCAGATCACGTCCAGGGGCTCCTCTAAGGAACTCCACCTACTTGCAGGTAGGGCACTCTTGACCCCATGGCCAAAGGGGCCGGGTGGGAAATGAGGAAGGGAACCTTCTTGCCAGGCTGAAGGAAAGAAAATGGCCACCGAACCCCCTTCCCCAACCTGGTGCCCCCGAGATGCTGAGATTACAACATTCATCCAGCTTCAAGAAGAAGAAGATCGTGGCTTCAAAATCTCAGGGACCGGTTGGGGCAAAACTCAGCCGCACTTTTTTGTGCGGCTGCTGATAAAAACAGGATGGCCAACGTCCGATAACGGATATGGCACAAGAAGAAAGAAGAATCCAGCTTCAAGAGATGGTGGCCGATGGTCCTGCAGGTTGGGCCAAGGAGAGGGGGCAATTCCGTGTTAAAAGGGCTGTTCCTGGAGAGGTTTCTGCAGACTCCCAAACCGAAGTCCTGTGGAATCTGAAGTGGGGAATATTATTCCTTCATTTCCTCCTCTTTTTCTCTGTTTCTCCTTCGCCCCTTCTCTATTCATAGCGCACGTCCGAGGCAAAGAGCAGAAAATCCTGCAGGGAGGTCAAAGGGGAAAGTTTAGTCATCTCTCTCTCTCTCTCTCTTCCTCCCTCCATCCCTCCCTCTCTCTTTTTCTCTTTCTCTCCCTCTTTCTCTCTTTCTTTCTATCTCTTCCTCTTTCTCTTTTTTCTCTCTCTTTCACCCTCTCTCTCTCTCTTCCTCCGTCCATCCCTCCTCTCTCTCTCTCTCTCTCTCTCTCTCTCTCTCTCTCTCTCTCTCTCTCTCTCATTTTCTCCCTCTTTCTCCCTCTCTCCCTCTTTTTCTCTCTCTTTCCCTCTCACTTTCCCTCTCTCTTTCTTTCTCTCTACATCTCTCTTTCTCTCCCTTTCTCTTTCTCTCTCTCCCTCCCTCCATCCCTCCCTCTCTTTTTCTCTTTCTCTCTTTCTCCCCCTCTTTCTTTCTTTCTTTCTTTCTTTCTTTCTTTCTTTCTTTCTATCTATCTCTTCCTCTTTCTCTTTTTTCTCTCTCTTTCGCCCTCTCTTTCTCTCTCCCTCCCTCTCTCTTTTTCTCTTTCTCTTTCTCTCTTTCTCTCCCTCTCCCTCTCTTTCTCTC